ATAAACAAACACATAGGGACAGAGATTGGATTGGTGGTTACCAGAGGGGAAGGGGGGAGGGAGGAGGGTGAAAGGGATGATTCGGTACATGTGTGTGGTGATGGGTTGTAATTAGTATTTTGGTGGTTAACATGATGTAATATATGCAGAAATAGAAGTACAATGATGTACACCTGAAAATTTTACAATGTCATAAACCAACGTTACTGCAATAAAAAATTTAAAAAAAAAGGGTAGTTTCTGGGTACATATCTTATCACTGGGGTGAATTCCCTGGTAGAACTTTTTATAGTGAAAATTTATCTTTTTACCAAGAAATAAACCTTACTTCAGTTCATATATCTCCACTCATCTCCATCTATATCTGGTGCTTCAGATAATCACATGCAGGAATGCTCCTGAGATCTGATATCTGGGATCTGAGAAGTGGGAGATACTGAAGGATTGGAGTGTTTATTAGAATTCACAATTACTTGATTGACCATCAGTATATCCCAATACTGATTCAGACTGATAAAAATGAACATTTAGTGAACACTGTCTCACACAAATACATTTTTCCATTATTGCCTCAGTAAATTTTTTCAACAGTCCTAGGAGGTAGGTGTTATTTAAATCTTCGTTATGTACATACTTAGAAGGCATAGGAAACTAGTATGATCACACAGTTAGTAAATGCTGTAGTCACAATTCTCTCTCTTTTTTCTTTTTGATTTGTTGGAATCTCTGCTCCTATGACCCTACTGTTTCTTCCTCTCTTTAATTAGACAAAAGAGCCAGGATCTTAGAAATATTATTTCAGGATTTGAAGGTGGCCTCCTGCTCAGATAACTGTCCCCACTCAGATTCCTACAGTCCTTTGTTTGCAAATAGGTTTCATATGCCTTCAATTTCACTCAATCCAACAATGTTTTTTATTTTGTGTCTGGGAAATAGAGAAGATAGTGATTTTTTTTCTTCCATTTTACTAACAGGAGCAGTAAAATCACTTACAAAATGTCACAAAGATGTTTTATAGTGGAACCTGGACTCAAAGGAAGATTTTCTGATAATCTTTTCACTAGAGAGAGAATCTACCCATTTCTTTCCATGGGAGGTAGGAGAGGCTAAACTGAGGTTAAACGTTAGAATATCCATATGTTTGGGAGAGGAACTTGACATGAACATTGTTGTGTAAGGACCTGACAGTAGATGCTTGTTCCAGACCAGGGAGTTGCTTGGGGTCACTGGTTGGCTCAGTTCATGGGGCATGAGGCGGGGGCAGGTATTCACCCTTCTGCCAAGGACTGGCTTCTCGCTAAAGGCTGCTAGGTCAGGCTTAGCCCAGGATCTCAAACATCTCCTGGAGCAGAACCAGAGCACCTAATAAAACCATAGACCTGCAGTTTGAAGGGAAGGGGACAGTGCAGAAACGGTGCTTTGATTCCATCAGTAACAAGCGGCTAGGGAAATGCTCAGTAATGAAGAGGAGAAGCTGTGAACTGGAGGGTGGGGAGAGAGCCTTTTAAGGGGCCTGATATTCTTGTCTTGATATCAAATATTGTCTCCTGAGCAGTGAAGAAATGGAGAGTCAGGTGTCTCAGCCTCCACGGGGCTACAACTTTCTAAGTGCTTATGATGTGCATAGTACTTGTTAAGAACCTTACATATGAGATCGTACAGCAATTTTAATTATTCCCATTTGACAGTGTAGGAAGCTGAATATCAGTGAGGTCAAAGGCAAGGCCACAAAACTATGAAGTGGGATAATGGTCACACTCACACACACACACAAACACACACACACATGCACACACACACACACCATGCAACTATGGGGATTTATACCAAAGCTACGAGTTTAGATACATTCTGCTTTGTGCTGTTACCTGAATCCTCATTTTCTATCCAGAAGCCCCAGGATCCAAGGAAAAAGAGCAAACCTCAGTGGCCCGAGGACCTTTATAGTCTTTCATGTCTGTTTGCCAGCTTCGAAACAATGGGCAAGAAGATTTCCTTTTACCCATCAGAAAGAGACCCCAGAGGCAAACAGCTCCAAGTCCCTGACTAGAGAAGCAGTCAACTAACTGCTAATTTCCCTACTTCCTCCTGCCCTTTGGGAATTACCACTTCAAAAAATAATTTGACAATTTCTTTAAAAGTTAAATATATACCTAGCATATGACCAGGTATTTGCCCAAAGAAAAAGAATGTATATGTCTATGCATAGACTGAGACAAGAATGTTAATAACAGTTGTATTTAATGACCAAAAACTATAAACAGCCCAAATATCCAACAACAGGTGAGTGGACAAAAAAGCTGTGATATACCCATGCAATGAAACTTTACTCGGCGATAAAAAGAATGAACTATTGATATGTATTACAACAGGGGCGAATATCAAAATGCTTACGCTGAGTGAAAATAAACAGTAATAAAGAATATATATTGTATTATTCCATTTAGATAAACTTCTAGAAGATGCAAGCTAATCTATGTGACAGAAAACAGATCAGTGATTCCTCTGGGGAAAGATGGGAGGAGCAAAGAGGGAGCAGGAAGGTAAGCATGGAGAAACTTCATCATCTTGATGGCTTGTGGTGTTTCATAGGTGTATACATATGTCAAAACTATTCAAATTGTATACTTTAAATATAGGAAGTTTACTGTATGTTACTTATACTTCAAAAAATCTGTTTTTTTAAAGAAACAATAACAAAAATAAGAATGATCACTTAATTCCTCTACTGAATATCTTCAAATGGGTTCCCAAATCACTCAGACTGAAAACCAAAAACTCTACTATGATGGTTAATTTTATGTGTCATCTTAGCTAGACTACGGTATCCAGATATTTTGTTAAACACTATTCTAGATTTTCTATGAAGGTCTTTTATGGATATAATTAACATTGCAATCAGCAGACTTTGAGTAAAGCAGATTGCCCTCGGTAATGTAGGTGGGCCTCATCCAATCAGTGGAAGGCCTTAAGAAAAAGATTGATTGCCGCCCAAAAAGAGTAAATTCTGTCAGCAGACTGCCTTTGGACTCAAATCACAACTTTTCCCTGGATTTCCAGCCTGCCAGGCTACCTTGCAGATTTTGGACTTGGCAGCCTCCACAAGTGTATGAGCCAATTCCTTAAAATCTCTCTCTCTCTCTCTCTCCACACACACCCACATACACACACGCCCTATTGGTTCTATTTCTCTGGAAAACCTTGACTAATACACCTATTATGATCTTAAATGCCCTACAAATCTGGTCCCCTGATGTCTCTAAACTTATTGCCTTCCCTCCCTCCCCAACTTGCTTCTGGTCAGCTACAGAGGCCCCCTTAATGTTCCTGGAATAAGCCAGGCAACATCTCACCTCAGAGTATTTCCAGTTGCTGATCTTCATGCTTAGAATGCTTTTTCCCCAGATATCCCCACGGCTGGCTTACCTGTCCTCACTAGTGTCTTTGGGTGTTACCTTTCCAATGAGCTCCACATGGACCACACAATGTTAAGTTAACTCCACCCCCAACACTCTGGCTCTTCCTTTTAATGCTTCTTTTATTCATAGTACTTTTTACCTACAGACAAAGCTTAGAATTTATTTATTTATTTTAGACACAAAAGCCCCGTCTTTTGTAGAGCTTACAGTCCAGGAAAGAAACAATAACAATAAAGGAAATAAGTACAGCTTATGGTGTATTAGAAGGTTTAAAACTGCTGTGGAAAGAAAGAAGCATAATGAGTGGGATCAGGAGTGCCGGGATGTGAACTCTGCATGGGGATTTATTTGGGGGTCTTTTTTTAACTTCTATTCCCAGAACTTATAAAATTGTCTGGCGTATAGTAATCATGCAGTAAATATTTTTGTGTGCATAAATTATGAATTCATGCATTTAGCCTTTCCCTATTAAAAGTGAGATCTCTCAGCTTGGGAACAAGACAACACTCATTTTCCCATTTTCCCAACACACATTTTCTCAATCAGACAGATGTAGGTTGTTCTCAGCACAAAAATCCAACTTTGAGGGAAAAATTACTGTCTTCCTAGAATGGGAAAATTTAGAAATTGCCCTGACTCCTCCACTTTCTCTTATTAAGTTCCTGTCACAAACACAATCAAATTCAGTTTATTCAGGTTTTAGCAAATCATCAAAAGTACTTTACCTTCTAGCTACTGCATTAAGAATGTAAACATTCTAGACTTCACCAAAACTAAACAATAGAAACTTTACTGAATATTCATAACTTTGGAAAACAATAAACAAGAAAGAGAAAATAGGGAGCTCATTTATATCTCATGTACTTCAACAGGTAGAAACTGAGAGTAATAATTAAAAGCTGTAATACCTTTTGCTGAAGAGGGTTCTTTTTTTAACTATCAAGACAATGTTCCACAAAACTTAAACTGGCTCTGCTTAAGGGTCCAAATGTTCATTTCATTTAGATAAAATGAAGCACCATAACACATTTGAGAATTCTGATAATCTACTACCCGGGAGTCAGAAACTCAGGGTGTGAGAAGGTACAGCTTAGTCCAAAACACAATCACGTTTCATAGCTTTAACTTTAACCTAAAGCAAAACGGGTTTTATCTTTAAAAAGGAAGCATAACATGATGGCATCATGTTTTCCTTTTGAGAGAGGTTGTTGGTGTGCTTTGTTATCTTAGCAAGTCTTTCATATCACTGCAGAAAGATAAAACAGTAGCATAAGCTGTACAGAAGGATCAGTCACACACCAAACTAATAAGGAGTTTGGTGCTCTTAAGACTACAAAGATGAATGTGTGTTGTCTGCGATGCCTCGTTTAGAGTTATGGAAGAATAAATAGATCACAGATGTGACTAAAGTGAAAGGTATTGGGTCCAATAACATAACTGCACTCTCAAAGGACAGTTGGGAGGGTGCTAGAGACATAGGTGGTCAACACACAATTTTTCAAGAAAGCATCTCTGACAAAGGCAGTGGGTGAAACAAGAACATATTAGGTGATTCTCACTTGGTGAAAAGGCTATTGTTTCTGAAAAGAATCCCCAGAGCCAATTTCATGTCTCTGTTCCTTAGGCTGTAGATGAAGGGGTTCAACATGGGGGTCACCACTGTATACATCAAGGAGGCAATCATGTCTTTGTCATTGGAGTTGCTTGATGAGGAGGAAAAGTACAGTGCCATAATTGTTCCATAGAATAGAGAAACCACAGAGAGGTGGGAGCCACAGGTGGACAATGCTTTGCAGATCCCCTTGGTAGAGGGGATCCTCAGGATAGAGGCCCCAATGCAGCCATAAGAAATCAAGATGCCACTGAATGGAAAAATTATAATTGCACCCCCTGCAGTGAATATGACCAGCTCATTGAGAGAGGTGTTTGAGCAGGACACCTTGAGTAGAATGGAGAGGCTACAGAAAAAGTGGGGAATGATGTTGTCAGCACAGAAGGATACCTGTGCCAGGAGGAGCGTGTGCAAGAGGGCACTGCCACAGGACAGAATCCAAGAGCCAGCCACCAGCAGCACACACAGCTCCTCCCTCATGATGGTGGTGTAATGGAGAGGGTGACAGATGGCCACATACCTGTCATATGCCATCACTGCAAGAAGGAGATTATCTACACAACCAAAAAGTTGATAAAAATACATCTGTGTCATACACCCTGAGTAGGAGATGGAGAGCTTCTGAGTTTGCATGTTCAACAGCATCTTTGGGACAGTGGTAGATGAGAAAGAAACATCAGTGAGGGCCAAGTGGCTGAGGAAGAAGTACATGGGGGTGTGGAGGCGAAAGTCCAGCCTGATAAGCAGGATGAGGAACAGATTCCCCAGCACCGTGCTCAGGTACACGCCCAGGAATAGGGCGAAGAAAACACCCTGCTGCCCCAGTGGGATGGGGAGCCCCAGGAGGAGGAACTCGGACACGCTGCTCTGGTTCTCCCTCCTCATGCTGCTTTATTCCCTTCTGGGAATGAAGAGAAATGGGAAATGTCAGGAACTTAGAAACACTGAGCATAGCAATTACCATATGGCTACATACTTTCTCCACCTGACCGTGTCAGTGTACAGACATACCTCGTTTCATTGCTTTTACATTCAATTGAAATCAGGGATGAGTCATTCCTTTTTTTTTTTTTTTTTTAACATATGGAGACACTATGATAGGTGCTAGGGAGAGAGGAGTAAATAATATACAGTCTTTTCCTTTGGGGAGTCCACCTCCTAGTGAGCAACCTCATAGACTACTGATTATGAGCATGGATCTGCAGCCAGACTGCTTATGTGCTTGTGTCTGATTCTTGATTATGCCAATTGTTACTCTCTCTCTGTCCCTCTCTCTCTCTTTCTCTGTCACACCCACACGCATGCCACTTACAGAATTATTGGGAGTATTAAAGAAACCTACCATGGGCTCAACATATAAACTCACGTCACACCACAGAATGAAAATTATCAAAAAGAAAGAAAGAAAGTAACAAGTGTTTGTAAGGATGTGGAAAAGTTGGAACCCTTCAGTATTCCTGGAAGAAATGTAAAATGGTGCAGCCACTGTGAAAAACATTATGGCAGTTCCTCAAAAAAATAAACATAGAATTACCATATGATCCAGCAATTCCACTTCTGGGTATATATCCAAAATAATTAATTGAAGCATCTCAAACAGATATCCGTACACCCATGTGGAAAGCATCATTATTCACAATAGCCAAATTATGGAAGCAACCCATGTCTGTTGACAAAAGAATGGATACACAAAATGTTGTATATACATACAATGGAATACCATCAGCCTTAAAAAGGAAGGAAATCCTGACACATGCTACAATATGAGTGAACTTTGAAGACATTATGCTAAGTAAAATACACCAGTCAGGAAAGTATAAATACTGTATGATTCCAATTACATGAGGTTCCTAGAATAGTCAAATTCATAGAGAGAAAAAGTAGAATGGTAATTGCCAGTGGTGGGAGGAAGGAAAATGAGGAGTTATTGTTCAATGGGTGCAGTTGCAGTTTGGAAATATAAAAAAGTTCTGGGGGCGGATGGTGGTGATGGTTGTACAACCATATGAATGTACTAAATGCCACAGAACTGTACACTTAAAAATAATTCAATTGATAAATTTTATGGTATGTATATTTTACCACTATAATTTTTTTAAAATTTATAAATGTATCAAAAAGTGTTAATAAATTATTGACTAAATGTAGCAGCAAAAGGAGAGTGACCAAAAAATTGAAAAAAAATAAACTCGTTTTTTGTCACGATGAGTGACCAAGATCACACATGAGAAATTAAAGATAACAAAGGTATGAGGAGGCCATCAAGCAAGAGCAAGTAGCTTCCTAAAAATGTGTGTTCACTTCTGTGGTTTCGCTCCCACATCCAGGGAAACATTAAGGGTCCACAGCACGGTCCCTGAAGATTAGTACATCCACAACACTTGACTCACAGCATTTTTAATATATTCACTAATAAATAACTTGCTTCATATCTGCCATTGTCTCTCTTTCCTTTTTCATCTCCAATGCTTCAAAATGGCTGAGTTCTGAGCATACATACAAAGTGAGTGACATGAGAATTTGTCCAATGAAGTGGCCAGAGAACCGACACATTACAGATTCTGTAGGACTGAGGAGTTATATCAGAATTCACAGTCATCTGATTAACTAGATAACGTTGTGAAGTTGACCACACCATGTTTTCCAACGTGGAAATGTAGAAATCATTGAAAGTTAGTAAAGAAAATTTGGGGCCCCAGAGAAGTTCAGTAGCCTTCAAACCACAAGGACAAATTACCACCAACTTAGCAAAAAGAGGACTCTGCTTAGAGCTTCCTGATTATGTCTAGAGATGATACAAGAGAAGAGTCAGGCTGTGAGGCTGTTTCACCAGGTCAAGTGCATACACATATTACTGTGTCACTTCGCCCTCTACTCTACATCCATTCAAGGTGAATAGAATTAGAATGTGAGTATGCTGTACACAAAAAGAGACACACAGAGTGACACACTGTGACACAGAAACAAACCAACCCAAGGTGCTACTTTTTGGCTATCTCTGATTTATACTCAGCCTGGTTGAAAGTGTAGAGGTTTTCATGGATTCATATCAACTTGCATACAACTTTAAAATGAATCACTTTGTCACACACAACTTAAAGGACACATAAACAGGAATCTTTCTACACTGTTGGTGAGGATGTATAATGGGGCAACCTCTATGGAAAACAGTACAGAGGTTCTCAAAAAGGTTAAAAATAGAACTACTATATGATCCAGCAATCCCACTTCTGGTATATACCAGAAAGAATTGAAATCAGGATCTTGAAGAGATATCTGTACTCCCATGTTTATTGCAGTACTACCCACAATAGTTAATTCATGGAAACTTCTCAAATGTCCATTGACAGATAAATGGATAAATAAAATGTGGTATATACATACAATGGAATATTATTCTATCTTAAAAAGGAAGGAGATCCTGCCATTTGTGAAAACATGGATGAACTTAGAGGACATTATGCTAAAAAATTAAGCCAGTCACAGAAGGACAAATATTACATGATTTCGCTTTTATGAGATATCTGCAATACTTAAACTCATAAAAGCAGAGAATAATGGGTGATTATGTAGGGCTAAGGGGAGGAAAAAATGTAGAGTTGTTATTCAACTGATATGAAGTTTCAGTTATGCAAGATGAATTAGTTATATAGACCTGCATAATGCACAGTGCCTATAGTCGGAAATACTATATTGTGAACTTAAGCATTCATCAAAAAGGTAAATTTCATAAGTTTCCTTTCCATATACACAAAAAAAGAGACACAAGAAAATTTTTGGATGTGATGGATAGGTCTATTACTTTGATTGTGTTTATGATTTCATGGGTGTAAGTACATGTTCAAACTCATCAAATTGTGCACATTAAATATGTACCTTTTTTGCATATAAATTACACCTCAATAAAGCTACTTAAAAAATCATGCAAACACCACATTCAGTCACCCAGACAACTCTCAAACCACACACACACAAAAACTCCACTACACACACCAAGATTCACAGGTAGCCAAACACAACAAACATATAACATAAGAAGAAGCAACATAAACACACCAATACAAAGTCAGACACATGCACTGACAAGAGATTTCCAGCCCTCCATAGTCTATTATAAACACTACACAATAGACTTCCTGCAATGATGGAATTGTTCTGTATCCGCATTGCCCAATACAGCAACACTAGCCTCATGTGACTGAGGACTTGAAATATAACTAGTGCAACTGAGGAACCAAAGTTAATTTTCATTAATTTTAATTTCATGGCCACATGTGGCTGGTAGCATCACATAGGACAGTATGTGAGTCAGTTATCCACTAAAAACACATGGTTATACAAGGAATATAAACATCTTTTGTCTCTCTCTCCTTTGCATGAAAACGCACATATGAAGGTCACGTGATGGTGTCTCACCTTGCTCTGATAAATGCCAATTCTTACTGGTCCAGGCTGCTACCTGAATACTTATCTCTTATGCCTCCGTGGCCGAAGGATCTTCAGCACCTTCTAGGCCAATTTACAAGCACTAGAACAAGGAGCAGGAAGATCCACATTTGCTAACAGGACTAAGGCCCAGGGGAACACATCCCCAAGCTTCTGGTTAGAGAAGAAGCCAACAGAGCTAATTACCCAATTTCTTGCCTTCCTCTTGAGATAGATCCTGTGCAAGAGCCAAAGGGGCTAAAACACAGGAGACCCAGGAGATGGTGTCCCTAATGTCAGTGACATGTTGGCCTCTCCTCTGCCTAATCATGGAGAAGGAGGAGAGGCAGTGCACACCCTTGACCTGTGAAGAACACAACAATGGCATCTGCCTTTTCATACATCACAGAAAGGCCCAGACAGAGTAGTACCAGCCCTTGTAGATTCCCACACCACTGACCCTGACATGCATTAGAGCACACATTCCACTGCCACCATTCATTCCATTTGTAAAGAACCACTAAAGACCCACAGAAATCAAAGCAATCTTGATAAAAATGAACAAAACTATAGGCATCAAATGAACAAAGCTGGAGGTATACTACATACCTATAATAATCAACACAGTATGTTACTGGTATGGAAAAAAAAAAGACCTGCAGACAATGGAACAGAATACAGAGCCCAGAAATAAATCCATGCATATATCATCAACTAATCCTTGACAAGGAAGCCAAGAATATAGAGTGGGGAAACGATAGTCTCTTAAATAAATGGTGTTGGGAAACTGTATATCCACATGCAAAAGAATGAAAGTCAATCCCCAGCAGTGTGAAAACAGCTGTTTGTGACATCCCACCCTGGGGGCTATAAGTGTCTGACACCTTCATCAGCAAGAGCATGGCCATCCAGGTGTTGTTTAAGTGCATCTCAGAGCGTTTCGTGGTCATGTTCCCACCCAAGGCCTTCCTGCACTGGTACAAGCGTGAGGGCATGAGCAAGATGGAATTCACCAAAGCCAAGAGCAACATGAACAACCTGGTGTCTGAGTATCAGCAATACTAGGATTCTATTGCCAAGGATGAGGGCGAGTTTGAGGAGGAGGTAGAAGAGGAGCTGACCTAAGCTGTCTGGTACCTGGCAGAGTGTGGAAGCCATGTGAACTCTATTCACTCACAACCTGTTCTCTGACAGCCATGTCTCACTGCCTGCTCACTTGTTCTTCTTTCTGTCTCAACATCACAGGCTGTATAGTGTGTAATTTTTGTGTAAGCGCTGTCTATCTCTTCCAAATACTAGACACTTATCATATGTAAAATTTTCAAATATTTTCTCTTAATCTGTGGCATTTTTTTTTTCATTTTATTAGTGGTGTCTCTCTCAGAGCAAAAGTTTTTAATTTTGATGAAGTCTAATTTATCATTTTTTTTCTTTCATGGATCATCTAAGCAATCTTTGCCT